TATCAGGTTAATGGCACTAGTACACAATGTAAAATGCTATGGGAAAGGTTGTTATATGATTTAATGTAATCGTATCAATTATCATTATATGTCTATATGATATCAATTTCAATGCTTCATGTTTATTTCTTATTAGTTATCAATGCATCATTAATATCCTAGACATCGTTTATATACCACGTCATGTCTGCTAGTATGAACATTATTATGCATATCATATGATATTGATGCATGCTTATTATTTATATCACATATTAGTGTTCTATACCGTGTATATCATGTATTATTATCAAGTATCTTATATATGTATCAGTCTCATCATGTATCATATCATTTAATTTATAAATGTCTTATGTCATGTAATATATAATAATATAGAATCATGTCATACACACATGTCATATCATACATATGCAAGTTTGAACATTTGGCTTATGTGATGTTTTTCTTGTATTGGCCATATCATGTCTTGTAGGCCAAACTTATAAGAATAAGTCATATCATATCACCAATCATAAATCAGGTGGCTTCATGTTGGAGTCGTCACTCTCCATCAATCATATTATAATATACAATTTTCTTATGTCTTTCTTTTCATATTTTTTAGGATTACTCTGCCAACTTTTATTTTAAAGGAAGAAAGCCCATCCACACACAATCTCATGTACAATATAATCTATCTCTAAATAAATTGAATCAGTCAAAGCTCTAGTCATATGCATCATTTGTAGTTATATACATATGCCATATCATATATTTATCATTTATAAATAGGATACATCATTTATCATGAACATATTTAGTTTATTTGGCATGTAGATCATTTTAGCATTATGAACTATAGAAGCTATTTTCAGTATGCCTATCATTAAACACGTCCTATTAGTGTACTCATGTCGAAATGCATGTTATGAAAGATGAATTATTAAAGATGCATGTTATACCATACTTGATATAACAAATGTAACAACCCTAGATTATTTTCTCTATGCTTTTATTCCTATCATTTCCGATAAAATGATATATATGCAAAACCATATGATAAAATCTCAATATAATCAGATCAAAATATTTAAATTGAAAATATTTATAACATATCAAAAATTACATATTGAAAGTTTACTATATTGACAGATGATGCATTTTTACTAGATTTAGGAGAAAGAAAAACTTAGAAATCAAAATAATTAAAAATAGAAGTAGGGTTAAGGCCATGTACCATGATCAAAATAAATTTCCTAACTATGAGGATGGATGAAAAGGTCCCAAAGCTAGCTTTTCTCTCCTTTCTCTCTCTCTCTCTCTCCCTTCCTCTCCCCTCTCTCTCCTTCTCCTCCCCGGCCAAACAAGAGAAATAAGGTGAAGAGGATGGACTTAGGGTACTTACGAAGGGTAAGTGAATTAAGATATTTAAAAATATTTTCAAAGACCTAGCATTGTAGCACTCGAGACCATAGCATCGTAATACTTGGAGCTCTCCCAAAACACTTTAGACCAGAAAAAGCTGGCATTACAGTGCCACACTCTTTAGCATCGCTATGGCCACCAACCCAAACACTCCAAATGAAGAGGCAAGTGCTGGTGTGTTTTCCAACATATCACTATTGTGCTTACTAGCATAACACCGTAGTGCTCCTATGAAAAAAATTTAGACATGCAAGAATTTCAATTTAGTTCTATAGGGTCATTAATAAGTCATTTATAAATAATTAATCTAATACAAATGATGATCATTACATTTATAACACTCAAATGCATTAGGATCATTAGTTTTGCATTCTTATAACCCATAGTGGCATTAGGGCCCTTTTAGTATCATTTAAATCCTCAAGCTTAAATTGTATTAATTGGATGAGACAAAATTCAATTAGCATAGCTAAAGCTACTCCTACAAGACATATAGTTTCTAAATACCTTTGTGAATTATTTATATATAGACTTAAATGATTACCACAAGAAAATCAGACCTAGTGTTCCTTCTAAAACCCATTGATTCAATAGACCCTAATGGTCCCTTATGGTAGTTAAAGCCTATATTTATTTCTCTTATAGTATGTTGGTACCCTTCTAGCTATGAAGCCCTAGGCAACCTTCTCTAGATGACGTAGTCTGTTATATAAACTTTTCTAATCAATTTGATAGACTTTAATAAGATAATGATAAGGGATACTAAAGCATCCTAAGCCTTAGTCTAGCTTAAACCCAAATGTAAAGTAGTATTAGATTGGCCTAGGTTGACTACAATAAATCTATATCTAACCTAAGCTCTAAGTATTTGAATTTACTTATTCTTCCCCCCTTTGCTTCTAACTATACAAAATTTTCCCATAGTAGGTTAATTGAGCATATTTGACCTTGATAGATTTTGTACACTCCATTCAATCTTATGAGCACAAGTAGATCATTAATCCCTAACTTATGTGATCGAACCACCTTAACCTAATCAAGACTTAACCTAGTTATTCATAGTCTAACGTGACCCTAAACTTGACTTGCCCTTAATTTTGATTATTGATTTGATAGACACTATGTGATCTTTGATGGTGTCGACATAAAAAGTCGATTAATTAAACTCACCAAAGATAAACATCACTAACCCCATAGTCAAGTAGAAAGAAGTTTCCATCACTATAGTGAACTAGCTGATAAAAATAATTCTTCTTAAACCTGAAAGCATATATTGAACATAATAAAGTTGCTAAAGTAATCCACCTTAGTACGATGGGCCAAGAGGCTGATTAGGCATATTCATCCTAAGCTTTAAATTTATCTCAAGTCAAGTGTTTTTTGGCATTTAAATTTATTTTATCCTTAATTTATTAGCCCTTATTGTTAATAAACTTCAAGTGTTATATAGAAATAAATTTAAGCTATTATGAGTATTTGTTGGCGAGGTGTATGTGGGCAAGGCTTTGATACAAACTGCATAATAAGTGCTTGTTTTGTCAATGTCGAGTAATACTTAAATTTTCTTTGATATATCAATAATAAAAGCTTCACTTAAATGTATGCAAGTATATGTGTTGAATCAAGTAATAAGTAGAATGTCGAACCCACAAGGAAGAGTTATGCTTACTTGCAATAAAACTACTACTATTTACGCTAAATGCATAAGTTATACTACTAAAATAAAAATAATGTTTTTGGAGTTTCTATCATTGGATAAAAGTAGTAGAATAGTTGATACAATATTTAATAAAATATTTTGGGTTTGGATTGATAAATACAAATATCATATATTTTCTAATTACTCTTAATTGTAGATATGATTCAAAGCATATGCAGCATTAGATATATGTCGAGCTTCTAGGGGTGAAAAAGATATCTGCTAACTTCCTACAGTTATAATATCACTTTTAGAACCTAAAATATTTAAACATCCTCTGTCTAGGTATGCCAACATTCTATCTCAATATTTATGGTAATTCTTGTATTCATCCATCGAGGTTATACATCATACTAGATTTTAACTATACACATGACCACCATATGCATTAAATGAAGAACATGATATAATTGAGAACATCATTAAATCTTTAAATTACAAAAGTCTTTATTAGTATTAATATGCTCTTTACATCATCAATCCAAACTAAAGATCTAACTAAACATAGAATAAATGACAAGCAAACTCAATTTTATTGTATTCATATAAGAATTAAAGTACAAGAGAAGTAGTGGAATTTTATCAACATATAGGATTAAAGTATCTCCTCTACACTCCTTTCTTCACTTCAAGGTTGCTTCAACAAGTACGGGCTATACACTCGAATAGATTGTATAATATACTTCCCTAGCCTCCCTTATATTTTATTATAAGAGGGTACTAGAGAAACACATTGAAAAGTACATACACAAGTGACTAAACTCCTATGTAAATAAAACAAAACATCTATTTATAGGAAAACTCAGAAAAGGTATATAGTGCTGTGACTCTTGAAAGTGTGGCGTTGCGGCACTCGAAAGTGAACTAGCGACTCAACATTGAAATATTTGTTTCGCCGCAGCGTATATGACGTGGAATGGTTATCAAGTGAATAGACGCACATTTTCACTTGAGCGATGTGTCATTTGGAAGTTATAACTGCAACACCGCGATGATGTGGAATTGGAGCGCTGCGGCATCGAGTGGTTAAAATGGTTTTGAGGCTTTGAAATGTGTGGCGCTGCGGCATTCATTTTTCAGAGAACCCGGCGCTGCCAAACGTATTTTTTGACACAGTGACGACTCAAATGTCGCGTCTTTGACTGTGATACCGCTGTAGCGCTCACAAACTGAAAGGATGGCACTGTAGTGCCCAAAAGTTGACGCTTCGACGGTGTTGAATGGAGCACAACGTCAGTGTTTTATCAGGTGCGGCGCTGAATGTTCCTTTGTTTTTTTTACTATTTTTGAATTTTTCTTATACAAAAATAACTAAAACAATATATTTTTATTGAAATTCAAACATATTAAAGTTCATAATTTACACTTATTAATATTATAAACATTTCATCTTTTGAAAAAACAAAATATTTTCGTTCTAGTAAATATCACATTCTAGCATATCTAATTGTAATTTAAATACTTTAAATAATCACCAAGAAATACTATAGCCAAATAGAACTATCATAAATTAAAAAAAAATCTAAATATGCCCAAAATGAATGAAAGGGCCATGGGCCCCAAGTCCACATTGTGTTTTGGATATTATTTAATCATTTTAATTATGTAATTTAAAAATTCAATGTAATTATAAAACTTTTAAATTATAAATTTAAAAATATTAAAATTATAAGAATCAAATTTGAAACAAAATTAAACAGTCAAAAAAAAAAAAAAAATTGGTTTACTCTAATATTTACCATTATTAATGAAAAGAGCTACGGTTGCCATTTTCTGAAGTCAGCGGACCACCACTAGCGCCAGACAATAATATAGGTTGAAATGCTTAAGTGGCCATCCACGAACCCTTCTATTATCCGTATTTTTAATATCCGCCATTATTGACATTTTATTTTACAGTCCTATGTAGGCCAGAGATTGGATCACTCTCGGATCAGCTTACTTCCTAGCGGCGGAATATACCCTAATTGCGATGATCGGTGTTCACGGGTGAGAAGAACAGTGACGCACCAATCTCGATCCGGCGTCCCGATTGCGCCTTCGTACAATTCTCCTTTTGGCAAATCCCTGAGGGCTGAAACCGGCGACATGATCGAGGAAGACCTGGAGGCCTCGACCTCTTTCTCCTCCACGTTCGGCGGCGGCAATGAAGGTGGCGGAGGCTTTGCGCCGCTACTACTGCGGCCGCGGCGGGAGCCCTTTGAGCACGGGCTCCTCCCTATTCCGAAGTTGATATTCGCTGACGGAACCCTAACCCTAGGTCCAATCCAGCAGCGCCTTCTTCAGCTTCCAACTGACCGGGTCGACGCGGCGGCGCTTGCGGATGCCCTGCAGATTCCTATCGACCATGCGCTACTCGCCCTTGATACCCTTGCGGCCGTTCTGCCATCGGATGCTAACTCAGCCGGGGCCGACGTCCATGACCTAATCCTCTTTCTGTATATGCAATCTTACAAGAAGTTGGTCCCTAGGGCGCACAAGGACTCCGCGGCCGTTGCTGATGTTTGGCCGTCGACCTCGGCCTTCGATGGGTACCTGTCTGCTCTATCTCCGCTACAGGTTTGGGATTTTTCGCTGTCTTGTGCTTCTAATGCTTATTGTTTTCGTTTTCGGAGAATGAGTGTTGAACTGGAAGATGTTATATTTGCTTCAATAAGTTTGTTATTTTAGGGACAACAAACATTGTTGGATTGAACTGTGGAAGAAAGTGAGAACTAGTTGTCATAGTATGGGTTTTGATACATCTGGTAAATAGCATAAGAAATGTAGGGAAACTCTCAAGTTACTTCTATATAATGATAAAAAGTGCTGTGTATAATTTGGTCCTCCTTTTGCTGTATTCGCATTAATGCTATCTTTTTCCTTGGCTACTTGTCCCGTTCTATTCACATAAATGGTACTTAGGGTACTCATTATTGAACCCTTGAAGTTATTAAGATTTTCCATTAATTTGTAAGTGCAGGAATTGCCTATATTTGGTATCATTAGCTTCTAAAGGATTGGGATCAGTACAACAATGGAAAAGATGGTTTTAATTTTTAGCGGTTGAACTTTATCGATGGAATAATTTGCAACCAAAAATTAAAATTTTCATTCTTCACACCATCAGCTTAGTCTTTTCTTAGGCCAAAATAACTTAAAGGTTTCGTTCACTCAATCATTTACTAACTCCTTAGGTCATAATTTTGTCAAGTGTTGGAAAATTGCAATTGCAGTAATGATTTTAATGTTTTAGGATTTTGTTTGAAAGTCTTGCATTTACACAAAGACACTGGTAATACATGATTTTCTTACGTGAAAAATTCAAGAAGGGGGAAATCATGAGCGCTAGTTTAGTTAAAATTGTCTTGCTAATATAAGTCAAAGATTACAAACGGCTGATTTTTCAGAAAGCAGATTGTACATCAAATAATGCATTGCCCAAAAATGTCACTCATATAGAGGTCTTCATGCTATGATTCAAATTTATAGGTGTAAGCTCTTATAGTTAATTACCTTTCTCAATCATTACAAAACTTTCAATTAAGGATGATTTATAGGCTCCACTACACTTTGCTTTAGTAGTGCTAGTTTGGATTGTGGGAGGAATATACCACTATTGGCCCAAAGATTATGGTGGGAGATTAATGTTAAACGATCAAGATCTTATGGTTTCTTCATCCAAGTTACATGGATCATGGTCTACTTAGTTGGTGGAGGTAGTAGATATAATCTTATTGAAGGGTCCTTGTTAACACTCATGGGTTAGATCGTCCTTGGTATTTAATTAACCTGGTCTAAAAGCATGTTGTAGGGTCCAATTTCAAAGTTCACTTTGGTTAATAGAAGGTTTTATACTTTCATGTTCTATTGAGTGCGCTTTATGACTCACGCCTCATAGACTTTGCCGTTGATAAACATTCAAGCTTATGTTATAACCATAATAAAATGATGTCATCACAATCAGACTAATCATCCAGTCATGTTACACATGTCAAATCTTTACTATTGTAAGATTTTTAAATGTAATGTGTGTACATTTGATATATCACATTAAATTTTTTATGGGTTTTTGTCATATTTAAATGTGTCGTCCTTGTAGATTAATGCAAATGATGGATTGATAATTTTTTTTAGCATGAAACAATTGATCATTGCTCGAGCATTTTGCCTTTCTTGTTGGGGGTTAGATAGAGTTCCCTCTACTTATGATTATGTTTGATTGCACTGTCAACAGGAATTAATCCCAAAGTATTTATCTTCAAATTTTAGAGGGCTTTTTTATGATCATATTCCCTTCCAATTGTGATTAGAGATAACGATGCCCATCATAGGGGGACACATCTTAAAGTTTTATTTTTGTGCTCGAGAGTTTGATTTTAAGAATGAACCCTTCCAATTACAATTTTTTTTATTATCGAACTCATTTGTATTTGTTTTTTTCGCTCTCTTTTTTTTTTAGTTCCAATCGTTACACTTCGTTGATGCAATTTGTTTTCAAGCTATAGTACATGTGGAATCTATCCAAGTTGCGCCCTCTCCTATTTGTAGTGGGAACAGATTTCTTTCATAGAAGAGAGGACGCTTGCTCGGCCTATTAAACAGAAGCCTCTTGTATGAAAATATATTGAACTTTGGGTTGCTATTTCTTCCATGCTGGGCTACTTCCACATTAAGGCGTCTTTATTTGGAGAAAAGCTATTCTTTGTTAGTCATGAGTTCTTATAATTTGTTATTTGATCAATTATAGCATTGCTGGACATCTGAACCTTTTTATTCTAGAAAAGCTATTCTTTGTTAGTCTTCAGTTCTTATAATTTGATAAATTATAGCATTGCTGGACATCAGAACCTTTTTATTCTATGCAATGTTTATTTATTTATTTTTCCAAAATTTTTATGGCTTTGCCAGTCTGTAGTCTGCACCTCTAATTTACAACTTTATACAATTTTGTCTTGCATGTGGTAAAATGATCTTTGTGCATTGCAGCTTGTACGTAGTAACACTCGCCGATCTATGCCTTCACAAGCTGACGAGGAAGCTCATCAATTGTCATATTTACAAAAACATATGGCAAATCTGATTGCTCTTCTAGCTGAGTCTGCAGAAGGACATGATGATGAATCACTGGTTTGTATGCACGAGAGAAACTATTATTTCTGTTTACACTCAGATATGCTATAATTGAAGTTGTTGCTACTTGTGTTTGAATTGGCTTTATAATTCCAACTCACTAGTTTCAATTCTGAAATATATTTCTTTTTTAACATAAATGTGGCAATTAATTTCATTTTTTTGCTGAAATACTGGCTGTGGTTGCTTCGGTTGCATGAAATGTTAGTAAACTAACGAAATGATTATATTAAAGGTGAGTGGTGGTGAGGTCATTCATGTTCAACCTGATGAATGTTCAGGTACGTTGTCTAGGGTGCTGTCATCGAATGTGAGGAAAATTCCTATTTGGTTTGATATACTTGGATTTGTTTGACTACAGGAATTCACCAGATGCTTAGTTTGTTGAAATTGAAAATGCAATAAATCTCATAACATAGTCAGGTAATAGTAAAATAATGAAAGTGTGAGGACATAGAAAGACTTATACTTCGTATCAATAAATTTATTAATGGTTTGAGTTTTTTTATATATCATTATCAAATTATTAAAAAATGGAGTATACATAAAGAGAAATGAATGACTACATAACAAAATGATAAGAATTTCAAAATTTAGATGAGAATGTTTATGCCACTAAATTCTTGCTTATTTACATAATTCACACTCAAGCATTTATAATGAATTAGCAAATCATATATTTTTGTATATAATGCTTAGTTTTTTGCATACAATCATGATTGTCCACATGTCAGGCCATCAATAGGGATAAGGGACTCACCTAGTTTGGTATGCCTGATCCTTCCAACCCTGAATTCGCTCGAATGCCCCGACTCCTCGTAGATTGAAGCAACTAAACCTTGGATTCATAAGTACGCACATACCATTTAGCTCTATGCCTTGCATCTCCTCCATCACCACCTAGTATTTGTTCAGCAATTGTCTTTTTTTTTTTTTTCATCTCCTAAGTTGACGACTTTTGTCATAATGCTCGATTGCTCGTTGACCGGCTCTTAATTGAAAATCCCTAGTTTCGATTAGCATCTTAGTTGTCGAATATCATCTATGACTAGTGACCCATTTGTTCCTAGGCCGACTACTTCCTTGCCGCCTCGCCATCTTGGTCCTTGTTGTTACCTTCTAATATGTTGATTCCACTATCATTGGCTCCTATGGCATTGCCTTCACCTTCCATGTTCTTGGAAACAACCTACTCCCCTACTCCTTACCAATCAAATCTAACCCCCTACAACTTTATTAGCGACCCTATCTTCAAGAGTTAGATAATCTTGATGAGCTCGGACTACAAGCCCAGCAAAGCTAATAACTTTACTGTGCTTGTATGACTCATGCTCATGATAAGTTAGCTAGGCCGAGAATTTCCTTATTAGGTAATTTAGTCTCTGTTCTAATAAGACCTATTGTCACTCATTGCCGGCATGAAAGGAAATTTGAACTACATGGGAAGGCTCCTTCATAAAAAGAACTTGTATACAAAGGAGGATTTTATCTTTTACTTGATAAAGATGGTACATCAAATCTTATTTCACAATTTTTTCATGTAAGAGCATCCTTAATTGGTAAAGAACTCCTGATTTAAACATGGCAAGAAGATGATTTAGGTTGATGATGCTTTCTATTGGTAAATATACAAAGTCAGAAGTCAGGTTATCTCCATAACTTATGCAAGTATCTGCATGTTAATATAACTATATAAGTATATTTAATTTATCATGTACAAGTTTGATGTTAAACATGTTTACAGTTTGCATAAAAAGCCTGTTGTTTTGTTTGCATAAAAAGCCTGTTGTTTTGTTGTCAAACTAGGTTTGTTTGAATGCTAGTTTTATTTAGCAGTTGGAATTGGTGTTATTGGTCATAAATTTTTAACGGGCTGAAAAAGTAATTGTTTGAGCAGACGTTTTATTGGTTCGCAGCTCTTGTCTTTTTCAATTAGATATTTCTTTATTAGCAAAAACTTTCAGATTGATGTCATTTCATGACTGACTTTGTGTGTGAAATGATATATGAATAATGTAGACTATCGGAGTTTATATTGACTTTTCCTTGCCAACATTTTCATACTTAATTTTGTTTTCTCTCTCATGTTTATTTTCCAGCCCTCTCAGGATAGACCATGCTTTTGTGTCTTGAACTATTTTGATAATCGAAGTTCTATGCATTTAACAAAGGAAAGTTAAGCTTTTTTTTCTTTCTATAAAGGCCAGTTGGCTTTGTGTTTTGACTGTTTTAACTAGTAGATTTTTAGGATTACTAATCTAGGGTTGGAGTAACACCTTCTGGATTTTTGGAAAGGCTTGCATTGATAACAAGTTTACACATTTAGAATAGCTTAACCAGAACTCCATTATGATTGAAGCCATCTTTCCTTTATTTTCCTGTCTTTCCAAACAATGGCTTGTAACTTAAGCAAAGGCCTAGTTTAACCTGCTCAACCTGTTGGATAATTGCACGTGGTTGGATGAGTATGTTATGGTTCGGCCTGAACCATCCAAACCGGCCCAACCTGAGCCGGTTCATGCCTACAGGAGGCGGGCTAAGCTGCCTCCTTTGATTGCCGCCCAAGTGCGTGGCCCTCCTAGGTCGGCAAAGAGAGAGAGAGGGAAGGGAGAGAATTTGCATAGGGAAACTATTTAAATAATTGGTTTATTTTAGGAAACCTTTTATTGATTTTTATTAGGAAGATATGTATTAAAAGAGGGAGGGAGGCTAGTGTTAGGGCAGGCATGATTATTGTTTCTCTTGGAGTTCTCTTTGAAGTTTTGGGCTCTAGATTCATCATCTAGAGATTGAGAGAGAACGATCCTCTTCTCGAATTGAGTATTAATTGTATCTTTGCTTGTTCTTGCATTCGGTTTGATTCCTATAATAGAATCTACTGTTTTTGAATTATTTTTATTGGAAATTTCGAAGTTTTCTCGCTGTTTTCACCAATTATTGCTAGGGTTGCTTGCGAACTCAAGTATTTTCTATCAGAGTACAATCCACTTAAACATTTGTACTGTTAGATCTGCTCTTACAGGCGTTATACTCTATGCTCTGATTTTTTTTCTAGTATATCTAAATCTTCTTCATAGGTTTTTTGGTTATGCATAGGTCCTTAACAAGCATGTAGTTGGCCTGCCCAATGGGTGTTTAACATCTTCAATGTGACAAGCACTTGCACCAATGTAGGGAAGAGTGATTCATTCTCATTGTTTTCTTTATTTCTTAGGTGAAATGAAGAAATGACTATAGTTCAGAAATTGGAAATCAAGTTTTGTCCTCTAATAAAAGGTTGTTGGTATTTTTGTAGTCAAACCAATCAAATGATGCTAGTTTACTCGATTAAGGAAAATTTTAACCTTTCATGAGTTCAAGGTGCTCTTTATGCTGTATGGAATCTACATACTGTAACGTCGAATTTATGTGGTGATATGCTTAGCAATAGGCATGTATTGGAAGGTGATATGGTGATGTCTGCTTGCCATGCTTTAAGAAGATCTATGAAGCATAATGAATGCTTATGCTATTTCACACAATAATGCTTATTCTATAGCTTTCTTCTTATAACTCTTGATGTTTTAAACAGTGTATCATAATAGACAGACTGGAATTGCTAGCTTTCTTTATATTTTTACGATGTTTCAGGCTCTATTTAGTCTAACCTATTTATGCATAATAAGATTTACATAGTATAGAGGCGTGTTAATGCCATTTTTAAGGTCGAATGGTTGTATTTCTTGATGATCTATTCATGAATATTATGTATGGATTGGTCTTGCTTTCCAGTTTGGTATTTTTATAGTAAGATCACAAAACTTTTGATGGTAATGTACCCAAATAAATACTAAGAAACTTGATATCCTGTGATTATCTTGTGGATGTAATGTGCTATTTTTTATGTATTCTTCAATGTCTTGCATCCAGGTTCTCACAATGGAAAGATTTGAGCACCTTGGTTTTCTCATTCAATTTGAGAAGGGATGTGATGTGGTTCCTTTAAGGCAAGCAGCCCCGTTTTTCTCAAATTCAGATTCAGAGATGCCTGCTGCTCCTGTCTCAGCTGCCCAAGTTCATGACTGGATTTCACAAATCATAACAACTTCATTAGAGCATAATGCTGAGAAGATCATGGCTAAGGAAAATGGTCCTTCCAATGCCTCGGATGTTGATGTAACTATGGTTGATGCAACTCCATGCCATTCAAGGAACCAGACTAGTATCTCAAAAAATGGGAGTCCAATGCAAGGCAGTCCTGGGAATTTTAGAACTCAGACATTTGTGGAAGGCATCTCTAAAGCTTCATTAGTCAAGCAACCATGTGACATTAAAGGACATTCTGTTAAGGTACTGTTGGGATCATTGAAATATTTAATATATGAACTCTTAAAATATGCTAGGTTTCTCTACGCTTCTTGTTTCATGTTACCTTTGCTCTCTTGTTGTTTACAATGATGTATGAAAGATTCATTATCATAGCTGTTGCATGTTGTTTGGCTATTTTTTCACCAGCTTTCACGAACTGGCCATTTTGAATATTGTAACAAATGCATTACTTACCTGCACAATGGACCTTTCTTACAATCATATGCAATCATTTTTTTTCTCATTCATTCTTTGAGGAAGAGGTTTGATGGAGAAGTATAGAGAGAATAAGGAGGATCTAGCATATGATAAAATAAAGTTCCAAGAGAAGTGCTATGGAGAGTTCTACATAAGAAAGGAAGTAATAATGTTTTTATTCAAAGGATATGTATGCAGGAGCTGCTACTTGTGTTCAAACACAAGGTGGTTTGACCAAGTATTTTCCTATTTTAGTTGGATTACATCAAGGATCAACCTTAAGCCCATAACTTTTTTTACTTTAGTCATGGATGTTCTGACTAGACATTTGCAAGAGGTGGTACCCTAGTGTATGCTTCTTGCTGATGATATTTTTCTTGTTGATAAGACTAGAGAGGGAGTTGAAGGTAAACTTGAATTATGGAGGTCAACCTTAGAGTCTAAATGCTTTCGTTTGAGTAGATCTAAAACTGAATATATGAAGTGTAATTTTAGTAATAATAGATCTAGTGGTGGGATTACGACTTTGTGCGATCAAGTCATTAATAAGAGTACATATTTTTGATATCTTAGGTCAATTGTTCATAGTTTAGGTCAAATAGATAGGGATATTATTAGTAGAATTCAAGTTAGATGGTTGAAGTAGATGAATACATTAGGCTTGTTGTGTGATAGAAAAGTCCCCATCAAACTTAAGGAAAAATTTTATAAGATGGTGGTTAGAACTGCAATACTTTATGGTGCAGAATATTGGCCATTAAAAGAGAAGCATAATACCAAGTTAAGTGTGGCAGAGATGAGGATGCTCAGGCAGATGAGCGGCTTTACCCTCAGAGATAGGATACGGAATGAGCATATACATGAAAAGGTTGGAGTAGCTCCAGTAGAAGATAAGATTAGAGAGAGTCACCTTAGATGGTTTGGTCACATAAAACGGCGGCCTTGCGAT